TCATTTGCTACAGCAACAAAGTCATCATCAAGGCCCCTTCTATCATCATTATAGTCGATAAAAATCCAGGATCCGGAAATTTTACATCAATTCAAGGTGCAATTGACTCTCTCCCTTTGGTGAACCAAGAAAGAGTTTTGATCGATGTTCATGCAGGGATATACACGTAAGTTCTTCTTCCTTAGTTCATCCATTTATATGCGTATATGTATATTATATTTGCATGAAGTTTATTCATTTGTTTGAACTAAATATTATTTGAAGTGAGAAGGTAACAATACCTTCAACAAAAGCCTACATAAAAATACAAGGTGCTGGGGCAGAAAATACAGTGGTTCAATGGGGTGATACAGCCAGGTCACAGCCACTTGGAACATATGGTTCAGCAACTTTTGGCGTAGATGCACCATACTTTGTAGCAAAAAATATCACATTCAAGGTAGTGTGCAGTCTCACCTCTTTTGTTTTATGTGCTTTAATTATATGTTACATGTGTCATTTGATGAACGAATAATATATATATATATATATATATATATATATATATATATATATATATATATATATATATATATATATATATATATATATATATATATATATATATATATATATATATATATATATATATATACTCTCACACACTAAATTATATTTAAATATTTGGTAGATGTTTTAGAAAGAAAATTAGACTAAAACCTTCAAAAAATAAGTTTTTTCATGATCTTTTCAAGCATCTTATTGAGATGTTAAATAATCTACTTTAATTTCAACACATAATTATTTAAAATTTTCTTGCTCCTGTAACATGTTTTTTAAGAGCATACAAGTTTTAAAATAAAGATTCAACGATATCATTTTGCAACTGATAAAAGTTCATTTAAACTTTTAAATAACTTAATTAAAACATTCATGTTATGTTATGTTTGCCTATCCATTTCTCTCTTGATGGCATAGTTTTCAGCGCGTACTTATGATAACCATATTAATTAAATGACCGTATCTCACTGGTTTAAATATATATTCAGAATACAGCTCCAATTCCTCCACCAGGAGCTGATGAATGCAAGGAGTGGCTTTACGAATATCAGGAGACGCATCCGCATTTGCGGGTTGTAAGTTTCTGGGGGCACAAGACACTCTCTACGATCACAAGGGTAGGCATTATTACGAAGATTGCTACATTGAAGGATCTGTGGATTTCATCTTTGGTGATGGTCGTTCCTACTTTAAGGTAATTTTTAATTACTATATATAAAACTAACATACTTACTAAAAGTGTTGGATAATGGAGTTTTAGTTCCGAAACAGATTCATCGAGAGCAAGTCTAAGTAGAAATTAGTTGTAAATATACATACGAATTCTCAAGAGCAACATACCGACTACGCGATAATATTATGCATACCTATAAATATGAAAGAGTACCTTACTTTATAGAAAATAATCCTTGAATTTGAATCATAACATACTTTGCAATAAATGTGTTACCATTGTGAAATTGTTTTTGAGTGTGCATGCAAAAAAACAGCTTATAAATTAACAAGCTACATAAACTAAAACGGATTTATAATAATTAAACCACACAATCCCCAAGAAAATATAGTTTTCAATAAATGAGCATATACAACGTTTTGTTCACTTGAACTATTTTACGATCCTTTTGCTTGTTTTTATTATTGATCCATTTTGAAGACTTACAAATATTACCTTACTTTATGCACGCGCTATCTAAATGCAAAATGAGACTATATAATTAAGTGCCATTTAGTGTGACATATACAATAATTGACTTTATTAATATTATTTAAAAAAAGCTTTGTTATCTAAAAATGAATTAAAGTAATATCTTATTTATCTCAAAATACACAGGAGATAATCAGTTTATGATTGTAAGACCATTAGCGGTAATCTTATTATCATAATGGACTTCTTTCGTTAGCAAGCAATATTCTAGAATATCTAGATTTAAAGATTTGGTGGTTGCACTTTATAGTTTGATAATAACTATAATTTCAGAAATACGTCCTTTATGTTCATGATATAAGCTCTTAATTGAGTTCATAATGAGTGAACTCTTTGATGACTAGACATACAATATATCCTTTTGATAGTGCCCATTAATGTTCACTTGTTCTCAAATATTAATTTTATGTGTCCTAAACACATAAAAAAAAACCTTATGACTATATGATAAGACTGCAAGTCACATTGTTACTACAGATTTCAATTGATCTTTATTGTCGTTCTCTCATAGTTTGTTGAGTTTTGTTATAAGGGACAATCACCTTAAATTAATTGTAGCGTTTTTAAACATTTTCTTATTAGAACAATCAAATTGATTCCCCCTTAGAGGCAATGTCTCTAACCTTAACCATCCATTTAACCTCGACTACCTTAAAAGATCAATTTCTCCTGATCCGTCGTTCCATCTGCAAATATTTTTGAATTTCAACAAATCATCATATATCCGACCCTCTATAATAATTGTACTACAATAGTCAATTTACCAACTACCATTTCACTTCCATGGTTAAAAAAAGCTAAATTTTAATATTTCCCTTTCAACTACAGAAGCCTACTACTTCTCTAAATGTGATTGAATTTCTTTTACGAAATGATTGGTTGTATAATCCCAATCAATCTTATTCCTACTTCTATGTATATCCATACACAAAATTCATAAAGGGGTCCACTCAGTAGTGAAGACATGACTTAAGCAAGTATATAAATATAAATATCATGAAATTTTGTAAGGAACATCTATCTCCACTAAAATTTTATTTTGTTCATATTTTTTATATTTTATCTCTTTATATAAAATGAAAAGAAAAAAAATACTAATGATTCTTATTTATGCAGGGTTGTGAGCTACATGCGATTGCAACAGGGGCAGTGGCAGCTCAAAACAGAAGCGCGAGTTCGGAAAATACAGGTTTCTCCCTTGTCAACTGTAAAGTGACGGGTTCAGACATAGTGTACCTAGGGAGAGCATGGGCTCCTTTCTCTACAACCGTATTTGCTTATACATACATGGAAAACAATGTCAACCCGGAGGGCTGGTTTGACTGGAATGATCCATCTAGACAATCGTAAGTCATCCCTATATGAGTTGTTTTATATATCTGAAATTGTTATGAGTGATGATGTTATTTTTTCGATACAAATGGTATTTAATGGTACAGGACTGTAACCTTTGGGGAGTATCAGTGCAGTGGACCTGGATCAAATACTGCAGGAAGAGTTAAATGGTCAAAAATTCTTACTGATGAAGAGGCTGGACGGTTTACTTCCCTTGACTTTATTGATGCATCTGAATGGCTCGACCTATCATAAATAACAACATGCTTTGATTAAATATTTTTTAGTTATGGATATTTTTTTTTAAATGACTAGTGTTTCTTTGTGATTAAACACAGAGATAACTCAATCAAGTAAGCAAACACAATAATGTCAAGCATGGTTTAGGTTCAGTGTTAATGTTGTTAGAGCAAGGTGACCAACAAGCCAACTTGTGGATGTGGTCTTTCGTTTATTATTTTAATAAATACTATTTTTTCGTATTAACGATCAAATACATTTCGGCATTCTATATCTTTGTCCCTTGCATAAGCATAGATATAGTCCTTACAGTTATTATAATTACTAATATTTGATCTAGTAGGAATATGAGATATAGTTAAGTAATATGACTGTTAAACCATGTTCCTAGTCAAAAGGTTACGCCACCAATGAGGATATCGGCCTTTCCCATTGGAGACTACCACTTAGTGTATGTGTACTGCGTCTTATCACTAAACGGTATTGTGGTATCGGCATACATAAGTGGGTGCTCATAAGTTGATGATTTCACTGAACTCTCTCATCCTAGAGATCTCTAAGTGATTCTTAATAATCGAGTAGAGGTCTCTATGATATAGTTGTATACCATTAGTTATTAAAACCCAAACATCACCGTGACTTCACTACAATACCAGCTAAATCGTGACATGTCCCTTAGTTCTACCGAGCCGCCCTAAGGGCCAGTGTTCGTGTAGTCCGAAATCTAGTGGGTGGTCTGTGCATTTAAGTCGGGGATTCGATCGCTAGAATAATCTTGGATGTCCAGTGTGTTCTTATAGTTTGTAATCATTAAGTCTCTGTCCAGAGCTGAGTATGTGATGATTAGGGAATGTGATTCTCTAAGTCATGCACGAACATATTGCAACACTTAGAACGATCGCACAGTTATTGAAGCATAAATGAGGTCTCGATGAACCAATGTATGACGCCCCTCTCACAATTACTCTTATTATATGTAATCTCAGCGGAAGACTTTCAGAAAAATAATTACTGTGGATATAAATTTATGTCAAAAAATTTCTTTTAAATCACAGGGAGAGAGATCACACTTTACTAAACCCTAATCAATTAATTAATACAAATACATACTACATGCAAGACTATAAAATAGATAGGTATGTTGGACCTAATAAAAATTCGGACAGATTCACTGGAGCAACTTCAAAAATTAATTCCTCTTAAAATATTAATGAAAATGAATTTAAATTATTACCATACATTATACCATGAGCCTACATGACTCATCCCAAACAGTTTTGAAAGACACTTGATCATTTGGGAGAAATAAATAAAATTATGGCACAGACACTCAATTCATAATCCAGAATAGGGGAGGGAGATTTGAAATTTTCTAATAAATTCTTCACTGACTCAAATACCTTCCAATCTTATACCAAGATAAAAAAAACGAGTCGAGAATACATTTCAAGTTGAAACAAGACATTTGAGTGAGTAAAACTTCAGTCAAGTGAAAACACTAGACTGATCCAGTATTAGTGCAGTGGTGAAACGCAATTCATAACTAATTCATTTCTCATCCAATTTATGCATAAGATCTATCACAGTAATTAGAACATGAAGATTCAGAGACTCTTAATATTTCATGATTTACGAAGAAGAGAAAATATATAAAAATAATTTACAAATATCGAGACAAAACACGGAGAAATTACTAGCCGAAAAGCGTATCTTCATTGAGTTGGTAAAATTTGCTTTTGTTTACAAAATATGATGGACTACCTATTAAATATCCAAAAGGATGGTAATCCTAATTACTATTACACATATTGTCTTTTAATAATTCCCACCGATCGGAGGAAGCGATCGATAGTAAATACCTAAAACCGTATCAAATGTTTTTACAAGCATATTATACAAATAAAACCACATAGCTAGGTTGAGGGCCAACCCAATCCACATCCCCTCCATGTGATCTCTTCCCGATTCCCAAGCTCGATTCCAACTTCACTCCTCGGACTCCAAATCGGGTATACCTACAAACATACAACACCTATATGAGCCTTTCAAGACTGAATGAGAAACTTGAAGTAATATCGAATACACAAAACATAGAACATGCATATATAATTATATTTTTATTATACATATACATACAACATAATTTAAAGCAAACATATACTTCCCTTTTTTTTGTCCTAGTTCTTCGTTGTTCTTTTTCAAGCGCATAGAGTGAGATAAATTTCAACTTTTATAACCATATGATCGGAGACCATAGAGTGAGAATATCCCACCTTTATAACCCTATGATCCCAAGACCATAGAGTGAGATTTTCCCACTTTTATAACCCTATATCTTCAATACCATAATGGGACATGCATGACATGAAAAATCATCGGGAATCCCTTTGGAAAAATCAATCTAATTTATAAATAACCTCATATTTTAGGAGTCTGCCTATCTACGTGGAATCAAACCACCCCTAAGCACTAGGGTACCGACTCGTCGTACCCCGGTTATTTACCGTAACCTCACAAGAGTTTCCAACATATGTTTACCTTTTAAAAACTATGACACATATGCACCCAAACATGCACCCATCTGCTTACCATTTTCTCATTCTCCCACCCAATGATGAACACATAAACAATCAAAGTAAGATCACATAACAAATAAAGTTCCATATAGACATTTCTTCACATAGTCATTTAGGAATAAAAATAAATCCGTAGAAAAATACAAGCAATAACCGAAATCTTAAACATGCAAAGGTCATCCATAAACAATCAAAAGTTCATTAATTACAAGAACTTGCAAGAAGAAAGTTCAAAACTTTCATCCTTGCATTTTCTTCAAGTCTTTCCACTAGATCTTCACATGCAAGGGTCTTTTAACACACTTTTAAATCCCTTTATAAATCTTTATAAGAAAGCACTAGACCTTATTATGCAAGACCTTAAATAAACAATCAAACACTAGATTAACACATGCAAAGCACTAATTAAACCAAATAAGTAACTTATGCATTTTTATCCCATAAAATCGAAACATCACACACAAATAATAATTTGTTTTCTACACAAATTCCACATGCATCAACAGACATCCATACTTTTATTCTCCTATTTTATTAATTTTCCATTTCCTTAGCTAAAGAAGCAAAAATTCGAAAGTTTCATAATTAAGCCAAAAAATCAATTTATTTTCACAAATTAACAATCAATAACTAGATAAACACATGCAAGCTACTAATCAGACCAAATAATCAACTTACGCAATTTTTCCCAAATTTTCGAAAAACATAGAACTTTAAGAACAAACTTATCTTTTAAAACACTAACATGCAATCATCATATAAGAAATATAACAACATATATAATATGCAAGAATCAACTTAGAAATTAAATACAAACCTAAATAATAGTGGTGTTGCATGTTTGAGCAAGAATTCAAGAATTTTCACCTCTACTCTTAAAGGGAAGGATTTATTAGCTCCTTTCTCTCTAATGCAAGAATAGATAGAGGGTTAGATTATAATTTTAAGAAGAGGAAGATAAAGGGAAGGAGAGTGACTCTTGGACTTGCTAAAGTTGGAGTGTGGGAGTGGTTAAGTGTGCTCTAGCTAATGATTAGGAGACTAGACTTAGGTATTGTTTTTAATCACCAAAGTATAAGCGTTCTAATGCTTGTGTTCTTCTAATTATTAAACATTATTTTAAATTGTTGTGTGTGTGTATTAGTGACCGAAAATTCAAGAAAATAAGGGAAGGAGTTTTTGATTTTTTTCCACTAAATAATAATCCTAAAATGCATGAGAAGTTTTATTTTCTAAAATGTAGTGCATGCATAAATATGACAAAATTCTCATTTAAATTCATCATGCAAGTATAAAATCTTAGTTCATGGAAATTATTTATTTTACAATTTCGAGAAATACTTATTTCGACATAATATCTCAAAATATTTCCTAAGCACATAATTCATGAATCACACAATTCACATAATCACATAATTCACATAAGCACATAATTCACGCAGTTAATAATCATACAAGAATTATTCTAAATTCTAATTTAATAAATTTGCACAGAGAGGTGGTAAAATATAATACTAATATATTACCGAAAATGTGGGGTGTTGCACAATGCCTCTAGTTCAATGGGGACATATGTATCGAAGAGATCGTACTGTACGTTAACTATATCACACGGTTTTGGAGGCACTTCATTTGTATCTAGGGAATCATGATGAGAAGTTGCTAGACGTCAATCTTGATTCGTTGCGCGATTAAGATGAAATGAGCTTCATCTTAATTATAACTCTACGGACGAGTTTAAACCACAAAGGGTTGTGGGCCCACGGCTAGCTTACACCTGACCCATCTAGGGTCATACTGGTTGTGTACTCGAATTTATTGAATAAACGGTCAAAGATAAAAATGTTTAATCTTTGCATGATTGGAAGTCAATAAGATTGAGTCCAACATTCATAATTTTGAATTATGAATAAGAATAAGAAAATGAAAGAACTAGGCGATGTTCTTAGTGAACTTTCTAAATTCGGAAGTTTCCCGATTTACCAGGTTTACTAAATTAGGGTTTCCAGTTTTAGAAATTAGAAATCGAGATTGGCACTTGTATTATTATATTTATATTTTATTTTTATTTATTTCTATAATATTTTAAGTAAATTACATGTTAGAGTAGGTGACCAACAAGCCAACATGTGGCTGTGGTCTTTCGTATTTATTATTGCAATAAACGAACCTTTATTCGTATTAATGATAAAACACCTTGGCATTCTATATCTTTGTCCCTTTGTCACAAGCATAGATATAGTCCTTACAGTTATTACAAGTACTAGTAATTGATCGTTAGGATCGTGAGATATTTACTCAAGTATTATAACTGTTAAACGTGTTCCTAGTCGAAGGGTTACGCCACTAATGAGGATATCGGCCTTTCCCATTAGAAGACTAGCACTTAGTGTATGTGTATTGAATCTCATCAGTAAACGGTATTGTGATATCGGCATG